CTGTGCACGCCGTGCGCCTTCTGCTGATGGCAACCTAGAAAATAGTCGATGCCGACAGTGGGGATTGCAACCCAGAAAATAGTCGATGCCGACAGTGATCCAATGGAGAACGAGACGGTGAAATGTTGCCGCTGCACGCTTGCATTGTCTTTCGGGGACTTGCAATATCCTAGGGGTGGGAGGTTTTTGTGTGCCCTAAATGCAATGCGGAACTGGACCTTATGCCCCGTCCTGGCTCTGCTACGCCTGCCACTGTTACAACTAGCCATGACCTTGTGTACTTTTTCAATCTTCTGAAAGACGTCGAAAGGGTGTGTGAGGCGGCGTCTCACACTAAAATTACAAGTTGGACACACGATGCGGGTTCGCAGTCCGTCAATTGATCGACGCTAAAATATCTTTCTAGTTATCTTGATGTACATAAGTTCTTCCTAGTTATCTTGATGTACATAAGTAAATACCCGGATGTTCTGTAGTGCAAGTATAGCCGGCGGGCATTCAAGTCAGTCACTATAAAACGAGATATCTCCACAAGCCCCCCATGGAGATATATGTGTGTCCCGCTGTGATGTTCAAAATTTGTTGTTCTATGGAAAATCAATCACAACGTTGTCAACAAGGCGAGGTCCAGTGGTGGAGACTCTGGAAAGTGATGAGGAGGTGGTTGGCATTGCTGTTAGAATTGTTCTGCCTCGGCGATGTGTATGTGTGCTATCTTCTCCGCTGTTGCAAATTACGCAAGGGCGAGACTCGTAACATTCGGGCTCCATTCTAGCCAAGGTAACAGCCAATTGCAATCCTCGTAATTTTCCACGTTTAGGAAGGGATCGTTCAGTGAGTCTTGCGGCAGTGCACTGTCATACATGCCAAGCGATGGTGTGGATGTGTTGAGATCCAGACTGTATCCACAGAGTTCGTTTGTTACACTCAATGCAAGAGGGTCTAATATAGAATCTATGCTGTGCTGGTAGCCCGAGTCCACCGGGGAGACCGGCCATGTCAAAACATGCTCTGATACAGCTTCCACGGCTTTGGTATCCTCTACCCCCGTAGCTCCTCCACCACCTAGCAGCGCCGTGTCAATCGCATCTATGACCGTCGTTATTGTGTTGGTTTGATTGCCTGGCATGGTCTTGGCCGGGAGAGGGTCCAAGTGGTCATTGAATACGTGGTTCTCAACGGCGGCTCCATTTTTGATCGACAGGGTCACTTTGCTGTCCGTTAGAGTGGCTAATTCATGTGCCTTTTTGAGTATGCCTTGTCTTCTTTTTTTAAACGTCGAATTGCGAGTTCTTAAGTTTTCGATTTTTTTAATTTCGATCTTTCGTCTGCCCATGCCTGCCTTAGATCTGAATGTGGCTGCCCTTTCTTTATACGTGCCAGCCCAATATGGATACGGCCGGGCCACGCGAAGTGAAGCAACGGAGGCGCGCAGCTGTTTTCTTCTCGTCATCGGGTTTCTTGCATACGTATTCATATGTAGGTACCTATTCATGCGTACACGCTTAGGTACACATACCTAGAAGCCGCATTTAGTTGAAGTACACGCTTACGTACACATAGTACCTAGAAGCCGCATTTAGTTGAAGGAAATGTTAGGCGGGTACGGAGTGTTACATAACGTCAACAGTTAGGCGGGTACATACGGAGTGTTACATAACGTCAA